TCAAACAGGATATGTATTCTTAAGACATGGAGCTGCAATATCATGGAAATTAGTGAAATAAATAATAACTACAACTTCATCCAACCATGCAGAAATTATTACCTTACATGAAGCATCTCGAGAATGTATTTGATTGCGATCAATTGATAAATTCGTTTAAACAATTTGTGGATTTTTGTATGATGATTCTCCAACTATCTTGCATGAAGATAATAGTGCTTGTATTGCACAGATGCAAGTTGGTTTCAATAAAGGCGACAGGACAAAGCATATTGATCCAAAGTATTTTAGTTATACTCATGATTTGATTATTGATCAGGCACTTATAATTAAGAAAATTGAATCTACAAATAACCTTGCTGATCTCTTCACCAAAGCTCTCCCATTAAGCAACCATCGTCAACTTATTTATGGCATTGGTATGCAATGACTTACTTTTCTTGAATAAATTAATGAGTTCTTTAAATAATTAAAGAAAATGATATTGTACTCTTTTTTCTTCATCTATGGTTTTATCCTTAAATAAAATAAGGTTTTTTTAGATAAGGTTTTAATGAGGCAACAATTGTTGATCTTATAAGATCACAAAAAAATATAGATCATAATTCTATATAAATTTTATTTATATAAATATTATGATGAGTAAAGAGGAGTGTTGAGATCATTAAATGTAGTTGGCGCTCTCCATAATATTTACTATAGATTATAGTAATTACCATAGCTATAATATTTAGAATCTAGTAGAAAAGTACTATTTATCCTCTCTTCTTTTCTCTTCTTGTATACGAGACACAACTAGATGAATAGATTTTGTGTGTGTGAAGCTCTTTCTCCTTAGAAACCCTCTTGTCTCTATGACTTACTACTACTTTTGTATATGTGTATGACTTACTATTACTCTTGTGTCTTTCTAAACATTCTCAACAATTTTGAAAAGCAATTGGTGCATTTATGAGTCCAAAAAGTATGACATTATATTCAAAATATCCATATCTAGTTCAAAATACAATCTTCTACTCATTTCTTCCACTAATGCGAACTAAGTTATACACTCCTTATAGATCCATTTTTGTATAGATCTTTATTTGATTGAATTAATTAAGATGTCTTCAAATCAAAAGTAAGAGATATCTATTCTTGATGGTGATCTTATTAAGTCCTCAATAATCTATGCACATCTGTAGAGATCTATCTTTTTTCTTGACAAATAAGATAAAGAGCTCTTGTTGAAGATTTCGAGTGGTATATGAAGTTTTTAGCTAAATTCTTGTTAATATATTCCTTTAGTATAGCTAATTCATTTTGCGATAAGCTGTAGATTGGTCCGAATAGAAGTTGAGCTTCTTCTTGTAAATCAATTATATAATCATGGGATGGATGTTCTAGAAGAATATCTATATTTTTTTAAAAAAAAAATATCTTGAAAATCTTGATATTGACTCGGAATACCACTTGATGTCTTTCCACCATCAAAAATGGATATTGTATATATAATAAAAGATGGCCTTTCTTTTTATGCATGCATAAAAGCTCTTGCACATATTAATAAGGATTTAGATGTACTAATCTTATCTATTTTTATTTCACTATCAAAATTTTAGATTAATCTATAAAAAAAATTAAGGTTACAAGAAATCCAATGTATCTAAGGATTATATTTTTTTAACCATGATAATATTAAAATAATTAGATTAAAGGGAGATTTTATTACATAAAATATTATTACATTATTATGATCTTTAATTGCTACATTTAAAAGAATAGTCACATGATTAATGTCTCCAAAAGATAATAAACAACCATCTATGACTTTTATATGTACGAATTTAGTTTTCTTAATTAAAGATATTTCTTATTTTTTGATAAAATCTTCATCTAAAAAATAAGTTGAGGCTCGTGAATTTAATAATGTAAAGACTTTGTGATTTTTAGGTCTTAAAAATACATCTATTATAAAAGAAGGTGAAGGATCTAAGAAAAGAATAGAATATTTACAAGATATTGCACATGATTCTAACTACATAATTCTTAATGTATTTGGAGAAATTTATTTTTTAATACATTATCTTCTTTAGTAATTGTGTTTCTTATTTTGTGTTTCTTATTTTGTGTTTCTTATTTTGTGATTGCATTGCTTCTTTGGACAATGTTAAGTAGTGAACTTAGCTTCTTCACAATATAAGCACAAACCTTCATGACAATATTAAATTTTTTCTTGCTCCATGAGGGATTTAAAATGTATTGTATCAATTTGCATTAATCTAACTTTGATGAATAAGTTTCTGAAAACTTGCAAGCTACTCTCATTATTTGACTTCTTCTTTTTTTAAAAATTCTTTATTCTTGATGCCTTTGAAATAATAAATTGTTGCATGTAATAGCTTGAACAATAAACTATTTTAAAGTTTCTGCTTTTGGCATTGTGAATAACAAATATTTGATATTATCCTTCAACCTATATCAAAATTGATTAATAAGGGCTTTGTCATTTTAATCCACATTGCAAGTGATATTTTGGAATTCAATAGCATATATGGTGATTGATTGGTGATCTTTGTCATAAAAATAAGAACTTGGTCTTTCCTATTCTTTTTTTATCACTTTCTTTGAATATAGCCATAAATACTTCTAAGAATGAATTCAAATCATAAAAGAGTTGCAAATCTTTTTCTATTAAAGGAGCAAATCAAAAGAGAGCACTTCCAAATAAAAGTGTGCATATGAATCCAACTTGAGTAAATCCATCAAGATATTGGAAGAAATGCAATCTTAAATAGAGCTTGAGTTGTTGTCGAAATCTTCAAAATATTGATCTTATTCTATCAAACTTATGTGACATATTAATCTATCTCAATTATACTTATAGAAGCAAAACTTCCTAAATTTAGTTATGAAGTCAATTTACTTGCTTCCTACAATTGTACAACTTCTTGTCGTAGGTTCTCAACTTCTTCTATAGGAATAAAATTAGTATTTTTGTAATTGACACTAATGATGCATGGAATTTCTACACTAAGAATGTTGATAAATTTGTAAAGATCTATAATAGTTGTAAATCTCTTTTTATTTCTATCAAGTATAACATCCATAATTTTTTCTTTCATTTTAAAAAATTTAACAAATCCACGAGTCAAATTAGAGGAGGATAATTTGCAACCTCTCATATAGAATAATTGTTTTAAAAAAATAAAAATAAAAAAATACTCTCTTTAAAAAAAAAAATTGGTCTTAGCAAATTAAATAATTTTTTTAAAAATGGATAATTTGCAACTTTCAAAATGCAACAATAGAAGTGGGATAATTCACTCACTTTTTAAAACAAGAGAAGAACAAAAAATTAACATTTTTATCAAATTGTCAAAGACATAAACCTCAAAAAACTAAAATGTCAATACATTCTTATGATATTCAAAAAGACTAAAAAATCACTCAAAAGTAATATAATATTAAACTAGAATAGCTATTACTAAAAACAAGAAGATTAAAAAATTTTAAAATAAAACTAAAGACTAAAAATGCATTGACAAGAATAAAGGTTGTATTTTTGTTTTCATATATTTTCTTAACTAAGAGCTATATCCTATAAAACCTTCAAAACATATCCTATAAAACCTTCAAAACATATTGATTTAGTAAGATATGTATCTTAACTTATAAAATAATTTTTTTTTATGAACATCACATAAATAACTTATTTTATAAGTTACCAATACGCAATTAACTTCTTGATCAAGTTTTTAACCTATCAATCAACTAAAAACACACATAAAGTCAAAGCAATATTTATAAAACTTAAAAAAAAATTCTTTAAAAATATACCAAAATAAATCTGATTTCATCTACTTCTACTTAATCATATAAATAAATATTAAAATAAATATATATACATGTAACAATCAATCATAATATTATTTCTTGATAATTTTTTTATATAATTATATACAATCAATCTATATTTTATAAAAAATACTATTTAATATAGTTCTTAAATTTATATATATAATTTTTAATACCTTCACATTTTTTGGATATTATCACAATTTATATTTATAGTTTAAATATACATAAGTTACTATATCAACCTTAAAACCTACTTCTTAATATTACAACCTATATAAGTCTTAAAAATATTTTCTTACAAAACCTCATATTTTAATAAACAATACTAACCATTCTTTTTAATATCAACTTAAGACAAAAATCCCTTAGTCTAAATCCATTTATCTGAACTTAAACAAAAAATAAGGTCATAACTTCATGATTAGCCACCATCCAATCTACCTCTTGTTTATTCATCCCACCAACATTAGAACAAAGCCACATCAATGTATAAAAGCTGAAACTTTCTTGTAAGTTTCTTATAACCTTACCAAATAACCTTCTTAATTGTTGAATCAAAGTTCTAATAAGCTTTTAAAAATTCTTTTGAATTCTAGTGTTACACACATAACACATAATGAAAAGGTAAGCACTGAAAAGGTAAGCACTGGGGCAAACGGGGGCAAACGAGAATAATGACCAAATTACATGCATAAGAACAAACAAGAATAATAACCAAATTGCATGCACAAACTAGCTAATATGCTACTCACAAAATCATGATGTTTTGAAATAGTTCATCTAAGGTTAGAATTGCAAAGAGTGATGAGTGATAGTTCCTCTTTCATGAAGGATCTCCTTCCCTCACCCCCTCTAAGTTTATCTCTTCCGAAATCTTTAAGAGTGGATAACTGGAACACTTCCACAAACATTGTGATTTTATTCCGAGCAATAATGCGGAATATCACTCATTCATATGACGAATTGAGAGCAACATGAGCCAACATAATTAAGGAAAAAATAATGGCATGTCCCTCCTGACAGAAACGAAACATGAGCCAACGTAATAAAGGAAAAAATAATGGCATGTCCCTCTTGACAGAAACGAAACAAATCTGGAAAGGATCACGCAGTGGTGCCAATAGCACACAGAATACATGCACTAATCATCACCAGCAAAGTAACGGCGGCGATAGCTGATGACAGCAAGAGATGACACCTTCACATCAACGTTGTAAACAAGAAATGGACGCGAGGTACATCCTCAAACTGTACGTCGCACAAAAAGATTACATGAAATTCGCTAACTGAAATTCGGAGCAGAATTGCCAAACATTTGCACCAACTTAAACGAAACTCAGAGTGCCACCACAGATCGAACTCCTAAACATGTGGCGAGACTATTGCGGTAACCTAAGAGCATACACCCGAGCTCAAATTTCCTCCAACTTGAAATAAGTACAAAAACAGGAATCCTCACTTCTGCTTCAATCTCGAATTCCTTCAAATCAAACAACGATCCTTCCCCCGCAACCTATCTGAAACCACAACCTCCGTCACCAAAAATAAAACGAGGAGAACCTAACAAGCAAACCGACAGCGCACCATAACGCTCACAACAATGACAAGCATATCGTACAAAGCCTTCCAAGTTCTTTTTATTCCTTCTTCCGGCGCTTATCTTTGCCTGACAGTTTCAATATAACTCCACCGCAACATAAAAACACCACACCTGCACGCGCACAAACAATGTTTCGAGGACACGCTTGTAAGCCGAAAAAATGAAGGATGACGCACCTTAGTTGAAAGCCTTGCTTGTCAAATGATTTTCCTGCAGGAGTACACCGCGAAACCCTGCGCGCATGAAGTGTGAGGCGGTACAGAGGGAGATCGACCTTTGCATCACTGAACGGAAAACGGAGGAAGCAACAGACGGAGGAAGGGGAAAGTTAGAGCAATGACTCATTCCTCCTGCGGCTTAGCAACCCCCTTGAGACACGGTCGCGGTTTCTCGTCGCTGAGTCCAATCTTCAACTGTCCCTTTGCCTTCTACAGAAACTATCTTGGGCATGATCCTAAAATCTACATTTTATGAAGATTTCTTGGTCCCTTTTCCTCACCTCGTCAGTTCCTAAACCAAGGACTAATCTAAACGACTATGTGGGTACAATAATGCTTAATTCAACAAAAAAAAGGTTTTAAAAATACATATGTTTCCTTTCTTTTTTTTCTTTTTCCCCAAAAAAATGGATAAACAGAAAGAAGTTGCTGGTATTGTATATGTATTTCAACGTTGGATATTGTTAAGTGAGACATTTATATAATCATCCATTGGTGGATTTACTTTAACACTAAACAATTATGCATGTGTGTAGGGGGGAAAAGATGAATATTGGATATCACAACTATTACAGTCCATGAAAACTTCGTCTTTCCATTGTTATTATTATCAGTATAATTATACTTTTTCTGTGCTTTCTCTGAGAATTAAACTGAAGTACCACTCTTCTTTAAAAAAATAATCTATATTAAATTTAATTTTACAAAACTTATAAATAATAAATACGTTCCGTACATATATCACTACACAGAGAAATATATATATATATATATATATACACACTCAAAATTAATCTTGTATGTGAAAAAATGTGTTAAGAAAAGAATTTTCATGTCCAGAAACAAAATTAGAGAACATCATACACCAAAATTCCAAACCGAAAATAGATTTTTTTTTTAAAATAATAATAATAATCAGACCAAAACGCGCACGCTTATCATCAAATTAGTTTACTGGTTCTAAATGATAAGCTTCAACGTTTTATCATCCTAACACATTTTATCCGGATGGTCTCACCAACACACGGTACCATAGACACAGGAGTTGGAATTGACAGAAGCCAGACGCGCTTTGTGGGCGCAGGCTGCCGCTTCAAGCATCATTTATTCGGTGGTTTGCAGAAAAACAAAGTAGTTGAGAAGCCGCATGAAAGCAGAGTTAAACAGAATGATAATTGTGTGAGATGTCTGTGACACTGAGCACACGAGATGAGATGGTTGCTACTGATGCCACCAGCCTTCCATTCAGCGCGATTCCTGGAGGCAGTCAACAAGACTTAAATTGTTGCTTGATCGATAAGCGATTACTTCATCGGTGCAAGCTCTTCATCTGATTTACACAGACAACAGTGTTTGATGACCTTCCTTTCTCATCCCCACACTGACTCGTGTCTGAGTGGAGTTGAAGCAGTCCCAACTTATCCTGCAAAACATAAGTTTGACAGCTCCGGAACTGGTTTTCGGTGCTCTGATTTTTTGGATGGGATCTTTTGTGCCTTCGTTCTAAATTAAGGATGGGCCTGATTGAGTACCTCTGACGTTGGGTTGAAGAATGCCCGGGTATTCTTCGAGTGGGGAAGAAGTGTTTTGGAGCTGCTCAAGATGGTGGGATTTCTAATTAGGCAACAGCCATCTCTATGGTGTTGAAACTTGCAGTAGCGTTCAGAATGTGAATGCTCACCAGTGTTCCGGCGATCGCTGCCAACTTATAACTGTGCTGAACAAAACAAGATTTTCCAATCAGAGGATTGCATCATGTTCGAAGTTAAAACATTATTGATCAAGAGATGCGGTACACAAAGAGTTCATCATTCTTATACGTAGTTGATGTTCTAAGTGTAGGTACTTAATCTATTCAGCCAATCCTGTGGCTTCAATGTTCTATCGACAGAGGATGAAACGTACAGGACAAAAAAGAGTTTCATCACCCCTCCTTGAGGACTACTTGGGGTAGAAACCCTAAGAGAAATGAGTTTAGGTTTTTATTTGTTTTCATTTTCTTGTTTTGAGGAGCTCTTTCTTGAGTCATGTGCCCAAGGTCTTCACTAATACATGAAATTTGTTTGTTTTGTTTATATTTTTAGTGTGCTTTTGTTTTAGACCCCTTGTGCTTTGTTTAGCCATTTCATATCTTCATTTCATGAAGTTGCTTGTGCAAGTTAATAGTCTACTATTGACATTGTGGTTTGTAGCGCTTTCTTTGAGAGAGATATGTGAGGTTGTTGTTAATGTTATTTAGGCAATGCTTGTTCTTGACTTCATTTTGTAAAGTTGTTATGCGCTTATATGTATATAATGAAAAATTATGTTTCTTAAACTGACTATTTCTTTGATGAAGTGGTAATGCACATCTATATGCTTTGTTTTTGTATAGAATACAAGGAACTTGGCTAGCTAATTGTTGATTGATTGTCATAGAATAGAGTAATAATGTCTTGGATTCTTGACATGAATTTTTTTATTATTGTTGTTGAATGAGAGTGAGGACAATGAAGATTGTTTGACTCCAATTTTAATAAATGCTTCAATTAAATAGTTTTAGTAGTCCCAGTTAATAAACTCATGTATTTGGATTTAATAAAGGATTTAGATATGGTTTGTTGTCTTTTACTTTGCCATATAATTGTTCCTCCAATCAAAATAAAACAATGATCTTCTATAGGTTTACATATTTTAGAGCATGATACCTAGTTGGCATCAACATAAACTTGTATTTTATTATTTAGATTTGATTTATAAAAGAAGCCAAAGTTAGAAGTTGCTTTGATATACTTGAGTATATGTTTAACGACTTTTAAGTATGTATCTTGGATATACACATTTATCTAAATAAGAATTATTAGGTAGAAAATAAATCTATATAGATTTAATAATATCTTATGGTAAAACTTCTTAAAAGCTTCATAGATGCACATTTGACTTTAGATGTGTTTGTAGTTAATTGGTACATTAAAAACTTGGCCAACAAGTTAGTCATATGTTACTTGTATTGATAGCTAGTGATACAAGCTAACCATATAGTACACATATAAGAAACTTATCTTACAAATTAGACATATGTTGAAAGTCTTATAAAATATTGCTATATATCTCATATTTAGATAGTATATATAGAGACAAGAGTGAAGCCTTCTTCACTCTTGTCAATGCTTTTCTTATTTTTATCTTATTTCAAGAGACTTGTAATTTTCTTATCTTTAACAATAGTCATTTCAATTCAATATTATACCATCTTTGAATAATTACCTATTCTTTTAAGTATTATAAGAGTATATTAATTTTTTGATTTTTTGAGATTTATAGCTTTGAAAATTTGATAAGGGTACTAATTTATTATTCTTATTTAATTTTAGAAGTGAATAGAATACCTTAATTTTTTTTTTATTGTGTTTTGAAGATTGGAGACTATCCATCTTTGAACTAACATTTTAATTTATTTAACATTGATTTTTTTTTAAAAAGAATAAAGTACTCCTATTTATAAGAATTTTTATTTTATATTAGAGGTTAAAAATTATCTTCTTCTAATTTGACTTATAAATTTTTTTGAATTGCTTGTGGAAGGAAAAATTATGGATTCTACTTTTAATAAAAATAAAAATAGTTTTTTAATTATTAGAGATCTTTACAAGCTTGTTAATATTCTTAAAATAGAAATTTTATATATTTCTAATATCAACTAAGGAGGTATTATTTCTACTTTTATGAAAGAAGTTAAAAATTAGATTTAAAGTCTATACTAAGAAGTTATATAATTGAGATCAAGTTCACAAGTGAATCTAAGAAGTCTTGCTACTACAAGTATGAGAGAGTGTGAGTCCCACAAATTGATCTTAATTAGTGGATTAGTTAAAAACATAGTTTTAAGTCATTCAATTATACAAATGTTAAGAGTAGAGAGTTTTTTTTTTCTATTCGAGTATTTATTATAATTTAGAAGTATTTATAAGTTGCAAAAGTGTTGTTAGAAGAAAAGTTATAAAAATAGAGTCTTAGTAAGTCTTGGAGCCAATTATCTTAGTTAGTTTAGTATTTTTCTTATTGTTAAGTATTAAGAATTAGTTATTGAAACCAATATCTTTATTGGCTCCTATCTACATGTATTACTTATAAAATCCTATCAATGATTAGTTAGTAGTTAGAAGAAGCATGAAAAAGAGCTTCATGTCTTTTTAGTTAATTATATAAAAAATAGGATTTTTAGTAGATTCAAATTGATTTTATTACTATAAAAAATCACCAAGATAGGAAAATATAGCCTCTTATGGATATTAGTATTATAGAAACATTATAGGATTTTTTAGAATTTATTTAGAATTTATTTAGAATTTTTTATGAATTTTTAGAGAAAATTTCAAGACTTTGATAAAATTGAGTTTTATCACCTTGAGAGCCATTATGAAGAAATGAAGCAAGATTTGAAGACTATGCAAGGTTTTTAGGCTAATTAGGTGTTTTTGAAGACCATGGTGAAGTCAAAAATGCAAAAAAAATAGTTTTACTAGTAGAAAATAGGAGGACCAGCAGCTAGTGTAGTCCTTGTAGGAAGAGAGGTGCACAATTCCCATAAGGGTTGTAGCACCTTGGGTATAGATAGGAAGATAAGACTAAGGCCTCAAGGCCTCTTGAGGGGGAGAATATACACTACTTGTGAGCCTTGGTGAGGCTCGAACTCCTAAATTCTTAAGCAAGTTATCCTTGAAGTAAAAACTATTCATTTAATTTTTCTATTATTTACATTCTATCTTTAATCTATCATAACTTACTCAAAAATAACTTGGAATTACATGATTTTTATATCATTGGAAAGATAATAAAAAAATTCTATCTAAAAATATATTTTTTATTTTTTAATTCCAGTTTTTACTAGATAAAAATCCAGTGAACGGACTATGACTTCATTTTGGATGTCGTGATTACTTGATTTCATCTCTTTTAATTGCATTGTGGTTGTTCTTCCTTGGTCTTTTGCCAATTGCTTACTTCACTTCACACCACCAATTACAAGCAATTCTTAATTGAGGCCATCTTATAATTGGGGCTGAGGAGTGAAATTTACACTCACAGAGAGACAAGGATAAATATGTTGAAGAAGTTTGATGGAACAAACTCAAAATTTTAAGAATTTTTACAACTAATGAAGGTATATCTAACATTG